TGGTTTGGTTAGGTTAGGCTGAGAAGGGACTGCCGTTATGGTTTGGTTAGGTTAGGCTGAGAAGGGACTGCCGTTATGGTTTGGTTAGGTTAGGCTGAGAAGGGACTGCCGTTATGGTTTGGTTAGGTTAGGCTGAGAAGGGACTGCCGTTATGGTTTGGTTAGGTTAGGCTGAGAAGGGACTGCCGTTATGGTTTGGTTAGGTTAGGCTGAGAAGGGACTGCCGTTATGGTTTGGTTAGGTTAGGCTGAGAAGGGACTGCCGTTATGGTTTTGGTTAGGTTAGGCTGAGAAGGGACTGCCGTTATGGTTTGGTTAGGTTAGGCTGAGAAGGACTGCCGTTATGGTTTGGTTAGGTTAGGCTGAAGGGACTGCCGTTATGGTTTGGTTAGGTTAGGCTGAGAAGGGACTGCCGTTATGGTTTGGTTAGGTTAGGCTGAGAAGGGACTGCCGTTATATGGTTTTGGTTAGGTTAGGCTGAAGGGACTGCCGTTATGGTTTTGGTTAGGTTAGGCTGAAGGGACTGCGTTATGGTTTGGTTAGGTTAGGCTGAGAAGGGACTGCCGTTATGGTTTGGTTGGGTTAGGCTGAGAAGGGACTGCCGTTATGGTTTGGTTAGGTTAGGCTGAAGGGACTGCCGTTATGGTTTGGTTAGGTTAGGCTGAGAAGGGACTGCCGTTATGGTTTGGTTAGGTTGGGCTGAGAGGGACTGCCGTTATGGTTTGGTTAGGTTAGGCTGAGGAAGGGACTGCCGTTATGGTTTGGTTAGGTTAGGCTGAAGGGACTGCCGTTATGGTTTAGTTAGGTTAGGCTGAGAAGGGACTGCCGTTATGGTTTGGTTAGGTTAGGCTGAAGGGACTGCCGTTATGGTTTGGTTAGGTGGAAGCTGAAGGACTGCCGTTATGGTTTGGTTAGGTTAAGGACTGAAGGGACTGCCGTTATGGTTTGGTTAGGTTAGGCTGAAGGGACTGCCGTTGTGGTTTGGTTGGGATTAGGGCTGAAGGGACTGCCGTTATGGTTTGGTTAGGTTAGGCTGAGAAGGGACTGCCGTTATGGTTTGGTTAGGTTGGAAGCTGAGAAGGGACTGCCGTTATGGTTTGGTTAGGTTAGGCTGAAGGGACTGCCGTTTATGGTTTGGTTAGGTTAGGCTGAGAAGGGGACTGCCAGTTATGGTTTGGTTAGGTTAGGCTGAGAAGGGACTGCCGTTGTGGTTTGGTTAGGTTAGGCTGAGAAGGGACTGCCGTTATGGTTTGGTTAGGTTAGGCTGAGAAGGGACTGCCGTTATGGTTTGGTTAGGTTAGGCTGAGAAGGGACTGCCGTTATGGTTTGGTTAGGTTAGGCTGAGAAGGGACTGCCGTTGTGGTTTGGTTAGGTTAGGCTGAGAAGGGACTGCCGTTATGGTTCAGATCAAAGAGGAAAAAATAACTGAGTTGCGTCTTTGTTCTTCTGTTGGGGGTCAGGAGTGAGAGGCCCTAAGGTCATTCTGCTGATATTTTTGGATAGATTGAGGAATAGAAGGAACATTTTGCTGAGGTGTTCTGAAGACGAGGAGGAGGGACTGTTTCCTGGGTTTTTTCCTTATTGTTTGGTTTTCTTGTTTTATGTTTTTTTCTTCTTATTTTGTTTTTTGTGGGATTTTTAATGATATTTTCCTGTATTTTACTTATTTTTTTCCTGTCATTTTTATTAAATTATTTGTGGTTTTCTTTCTATTTTCTTTGGCCTTTTCTTCCTCTTTGTGCTAATATTTTTTATTTATTTTCTTCCTCCTTCTCTTCTATGTTTTTCATCTTTTATTCTCCTAATTTTCTTACTGTTCTCATTGTCTTCTTCGTCTTCTCATTTTCTTCATCTTTACTTCGTATTATTATTATTATTATTATTATTATTATTATTATTATTATTATTATTATTATCATTATTGTGTTCATTATTGTTATTATTATTATTATTATAATTATTATCATTATTATTATTACGATTATGTGCATTATTATTGTGATTATTATTATTATTGTTATTCTTATTTATATTTTTATTAATTTTTGTTGGTCTTTCCCTTCCACCTTCTCTTGTTCATAAACCTCAGCAAAATAGAAATCAATATTGAAATTCCTGTGAAAACTTGTGTAAAATAAGAGAAATTTCCAGGAGTTAGGAGAAATTCATAAGTCTCCCGTGTAAGTGAGGAGTTGTGTTCATTTTCTTTCATATATTAAAGAAAATTAGACGTGAATTTTTTTTCGTCTGACGGAATATATTTCTCTTATGAAAACGGAGTAGTACTTTCTCTCTCTTTCTCTCTCTTTCTCTTTTTTGTTTTCTCTATTTTACTTGTTCTCTCATTCATGTTTTCATTTTCCTTGTTTACTCTCTCGCTCTCTCCTCATAGTAATTAGAATATTTTAAATCTCACAGGTGTCTCAAGCTGCCCAGGTGTAATTAATTAAGGTGTATATATAGAAGGTAAACGTGTTGACACGCGCTCGCTCGCCTTAGATGCCTTTACGTGTTTTTCTTGTATCTCTCTCTCTTCTTCCTTCCTTCTCTCTTTCTTCCTGCCACCCTTCCCTTTGCATCATTCTCCCTTCTCCCCTTTAATCATCTCCCACTTCTCTCTCCCCTCCTTCTTTCTCCTTCCTTCTCCCTCCCTCTCCGCACCTCCTCCTCTCCTTCCTCCCCTCTCTTCCACCCTTCCTTCCTCCCCACACCTCCTCCTCTCCCCTCCTCCTCTCTTCCCACCCTTCCTTCTCCCACCTCCTCCTCTCCCTCCTCCCCTCTCTTCACCCTTCCTTCTCCCCGCACCTCCTCTCTCCCCTCCTCTCCTCTCTTCCACCTTCCTTCCTCCCCACCTCCTCCCCTCTCTTCCCCACCCCTTCCTTCCTCCCCCACCTCCTCCTCTCCCTCCTCCTCTCTTCCCCACCCTTCCTTCACTCCCCACCCCTCCCTCCTCTCCCTCCTCCTCTCTTCCACCCTTCCTTCCTCCCACACCTCCTCCTCTCTTCCACCTTCCTTCCTCCCCACACCTCCTCCCCTCTCCCCTCCTCCTCTCTTCCCACCCTTCCTTCCCTCCCCACCCTCCCTCCTCTCCCTCCTCCTCTCTTCCACCCTTCCTTCCTCCCACCTCCCCTCATCTGTTTCCTCCCAGGCTGGTGGTGTGTGTCCAGCTGTCAGTCCGTGTGTTTGTATGTCTATTGTTTGGGTGTTTTACCTTTCCTGGTATTTTGTTCTTTGTTGTGTGTGTGTGTGTGTGTGTGTGTGTGTGTGTGTGTGTGTGTGTGTGTGTGTGTGTGTGTGTGTGTGTTTTGGTATAATATTCTTGATTAATTCAACTTGTTTGTTTGTTTATTCCCGTCGTAGTTTCAGTGCCTGAGTGTGTGTCTGCTTAAACAATGTGTCTGTCTCCACAAAGCAGTAATTCATGACGTATTAAGATGTCAACTAGGAGTTTATGAAGTAACCGTGATGTAAACCAGCAATTATGATGTAACCGATGATGTAAACTTGCAATTATGACGTAACAGTGACGTAAAACCACAATTGTGACTTAACGGTGACGTCAACATGCAAATACGACAGTAATTATAAAGCAGACCAGTAGTTGATGACGTAACAGTGACGTAAATCAACAGCGGATGACGTAAGAATAACGTCACTAGTTGTGGCACCAATTATCGTGTGTCCCTAGACTCTCCTTGGCCTAAGATATGGAAATATTATTCATAGGACATGGGGAGCTTTAATGTATGGGGCTCCTTGGGATAAAAGAAAACGTTGTGTAGGTGTTAGTGGCTGTGTGTATTTGTGATGGGCTGAGGCGCGTTGTGTGTTTTTTCTATGTATAATATGTGTTTTTATATGTAGGTGGCTCTTCTGTTCTTGTTTCTAAGGATTTGTGTGTGTGTGTGTGTGTGTGTGTGTGTGTGTGTAAGGTTGTGTGTGTGTGTGTGCTTAAAATGTTTTGAGTGTGTGTGTGCGTGTGTGTGTGTGTATGCATATAAGGCTGTGTAGGTATACGTGTGTGTTGTATACAATAAACGCCACTAATAACATCATACAGTACAGACCATAACTCTCCTCTCTGTGTTAGGTTAATCCAGATCAAACTTTTCTGTATAAGGAGAGTTAGGTGCTGGATTAAGTGGTCCTCTCAACACCAAGGAGAGAGAATCAACTCCCACAACCTGGCTTAAGAGTCCTGGGGGGGTCAGGAACCATTACTCAAGTGTGTGCGTGTGTGTGTGTGTCTGGTCTCTCCCACAGGTCACACCAACACCTGGTCTCCCCCACAGGTCCACTAACACCTGGACTCCCCCACAGGTCACACTAACACCTGGTCTCCCCACAGGTCACACTAACACCTGGTCTGCAGGTCCACACTAACACCTGGTCTCCCCCACAGGTCACACCTAACACCTGGTCTCCCCCACAGGTCACTACAACACCTGGTCTCCCCCCACAGGTCACACTAACACCTGGTCTCCCACAGGTCCACACTAACACTGGTCTCCCCACAGGTCACACTAACACCTGGTCTCCCCCACAGGTCACACTAACACCTGGTCTCCCCTGAGTCCACCTAGCACCTGGTCTCCCCCACAGGTCACACTAACACCTGGTCTCCCCCACAGGTCACACTAACACCTGGTCTCCCCCACAGGTCACACTAACACCTGGTCTCCCCCACAGGTCACACTAACACCTGGTCTCCCCCACAGGTCACACTAACACCTGGTCTCCCCCACAGGTCACACTAACACCTGGTCTCCCCCACAGGTCACACTAACACCTGGTCTCTCCTACAGGTGTACTATATGGTGCTGGTCGTGCTGCTGTGGACCAACCTACAGACGGAGTGGTCGCCGGAAGCCTCCCCTGACAGTGTCCTTCTGTCAGACGACAACCGACACCGTCACCTGCCAGGTCAGTGTCTTGATAGATAAAGAGATAGATATTAGCTCCACAGTATCGCTAATATATTCCTTATTTGCGATATAAAGTATCTCTCTCTCTCTCTCTCTCTCTCTCTCTCTCTCTCTCTCTCTCTCTCTCTCTCTCTCTCTCTCTCTCTCTCTCTCTCTCTCTCTCTCTCTCTCTCTCTCTCTCTCTCTCTCTCGTCTGAGTGTCACATAAACAAGTTACATTAGCAGAGGCTCGTGACTGCCAGCAGGTGAGTCACCCTAAATATTCTTTATTATAAGTTCGCTAAATATTCTTCTCTTCTATCAACCAGTAGATTAAAGTAGTGTGAGTATGGCATTTGAGAGAGAGAGAGAGAGAGAGAGAGAGAGAGAGAGAGGATGTTAGTCCAAGCAACACCTTCTTCGTCGGGTAAAAAAGGTAACAGTTCTTATACTCGACGTCACCATCTCCGTGTTAATGTAATTTGTACCTGCACGACGACCTCTCACAGGGAAGGTGTTAGTAAGGTTTTAGGGATAGTAAAGCTCTTTGAGTGGCCAGTAAGTCAATCTCTGTCAGTGGTCAGTAAGTCAAGCTCTCTGAGTGGGCAGTATGTCAAGCTCTTTGAGTGGCCAGTAAGTCAATCTCTGTGAGTGGTCAGTAAGTCAAGCTCTCTGAGTGGGCAGTATGTCAAGCTCTTTGAGTGGCCAGTAAGTCAAGCTCTCTGAGTGGGCAGTAAGTCAAGTTCTCTGAGTGGCCAGTAAATTAAATTCTCTGAGTGGCCAGTAAGTCAAGCTCTCTGAATTGCCAGTAAGTCAAACTCTCTGAGTGGCCAGTAAGTAAAGCTCTCTGAGTGGCTAGTAAGTCAAGCTCTCTGAATTGCCAGTAAGTCAAGTTCTCTGAGTGGCTAGTAAATTAAATTCTCTGAGTGGCCAGTAAGTCAAGCTCTCTGAATTGCCAGTAAGTCAAGCTCTCTGAGTGGCCAGTAAGTCAAGCTCTCTGAATTGCCAGTAAGTCAAGCTCTCTGAGTGGCCAGTAAGTCAAGCTCTCTGAATTGCCAGTAAGTCAAACTCTCTGAGTGGCCAGTGAGGCATCATATGCACATACTATATACAGTATAAACCAACACACTAACTCATCTTAAAACTCTCTTCATAGGCTCAACATTTCCCAGCAGTGAATGAAATAACCATTCTGGAACAGTGAGAAGCGATCCCCCCTCCCGGAATAGCTTCTAGGTGGCCATCGTGGGAGGGCTAATGGAAGGGGTGAATGGATAAGGAAGGGAAGAGGTAATGGAAGGGATACATAAATAGGGGAAGGAAAAGGGAAAAGAAGAATTTAAGTGACGGGGAGAATCGAGGAAGGGATTTTAGGCTCCTACAGGTTAGTTCAGCACAGGTTTGGCTAGGCCAGGTTAGGTTAGGTTAAGTTAGGGTCAGTTTAGGTTTGATTACAATAGGTTGAATTAAGTTTAAGTTAGGGTAATATAAGCTGGATTAGGTGAAGATTAAGTTAGGTTAAGCTAGGTTAAGTTACCTTTATGTCAGATTAGGATACATTTAAGTTAGGTTAAGTTTAAGGTTAGGTTAGGCTTGGTTTAAGGTTAGGTTTAGTTTAAGTGAGTTTAAGGTTAGGTTAGGTTTAGTTTAAGTGAGTTTAAGGTTAGGTTAGGTTTAGTTTAAGTGAGTTTAAGGTTAGGTTAGGTTTAGTTTAAGTGAGTTTAAGGTTAGGTTAGGTTTAGTTTAAGTGAGTTTAAAATACGTAAGGGTGTGCAATTGACCTGATGAGAGGGGAGTGCATAACAGAGACAGATAAAGAGAGGGAGAGAGAGAGGGGGGCGATAAAAAGTGAATGAGAACGAAAGAAAACTAAGAATAACAGAAAGACAGAAGAAGGGAGTGAAACAGACAGAAAAAGTGTTAAGGACAGACAGGGAAAGGAAGGAAGAGAAAGGGAGAGAGAGAAGATATACGTGTGAATGAGAGACGGGAACAAGGGAGAGACAGAAAGGAAGTAAGAGACAGACAAATACACGTAGATGTTAATAAAGACAGAGTAAGAGAGATTAAAAGAGACAGACATAAAGACGGGAACTGGCACATATACAAACAACTAAAGAGATACAGGAAGATAAACACACACAGATAGACAGACAAACATCAAGGAGACAGAAAAATGAATATACAAACAAGAATAAAAATAGACAGACATAAAGTAGACAGCCAGAAACGAACTCAATTAATCAACAAAATCCAAAGCAGATAGATAAATAGATAATGAGACAGACAGACAGATAGATAGACAGACAGACAGATAGATAGACAGACAGACAGACAGATAGATAGACAGACAGACAAATAGACAGACATAGATAGATAAATCGATAGATAGACAGACAGACATATAGATAGATAGACAGACAGACAGACAGATAGGTACAGTAGATAGATAAATAGATAGATTGAGTGATAGATAGACAGACAGACAGATAGATAGATAGACATTTATTCAGTAAAGTCTTCATAAAACTTCAACTACTTAAATGGAGCAGACAGGTATAGAGTTTACAGTAAAGTTAAGAGAAATTAAAAGTTTCCGCCTCTTGCATCTGGCCAGGTGAGAGGACGGGGAGGAAGAGGGAGGTGGAGGAGGAGGAAGAGGGAGGTGGAGGAGGAGGAAGAGGGAGGTGGAGGAAGAGGGAGGTGGAGGAGGAGGAAGAGGAGGTGGAGGAGGGAGGAAGAGGGGGGAGGTGGAGGGGAGGAGAAAGAGGGAGGTGGAGGGGAGGAGGAAAGAGGAGGTGGAGGAGAAGAGGGAGGTGGAGGGAGGAGGAGGTGGAGGAGGAGGAAGGTGGAGGGAGGAGGAAGGGGGAGGTGGAGGAAGAGGGAGGGTGGAAGAGGAGGAGGGAGGTGGAGGAGGGAAGAAGAGGAGGGGGAGGTGGAGGAGGAGGAGAAAGAGGAGGTGAAGGAGAAAGAGGGAGGGCGGAGGAGGGAGGAAGAGGAGGTGGAGGGGGAGGGAGGGAGAGGGAGAGTCAGAGGAAAGAAGGGAGGTGGAGGGAGAAGAAGAGGGAGGTGGAGAAGAGGAGGTGGAGGGGGAGAAGAGGGAGGTGGAGGAGGGGAGGAGGAGGAAAGAGGTGGAGGAAGAGGGAGGTGGAGGAGGAAGAAGAAGGGAGGTGGAGGAAAGAGGAGGTGGAGGAGTGGAGGAGGAGGGAAAGGGAGGTGGAGGTGGAGGAGGAGGAAGAAAGAGAGGAGGGAGTGGAGGAGGGGGAAGAGGTGGAGGAGGGAAGAAAGAAAGGGGAGGTGGAGGGAGAGGAAGAAAGAGGAGGTGGAGGGGAGGAGAAAGAAGAGAAAGAGAGGAGTGGGAGGGGGGAAGGGGAGGTGGAGAGGAGGAGGAAAGAAGAGGTGGAGGAGGGAAAGATGAGGGGAGGTGGAGGAGGGAAGAAGAGGTGGAGGGAGGAGAAGAAGAGGGAGGTGGAGGGAGGGAGAAAGAGGAGGTGGAGGAGGGAAGAAAGAGGAGGTGGAGGGGAGGGGGAGAAAGAGAGGGAGGTGGAGGAGGAAGAAAGAGGGAGGTGGAGGAGGAAGAAGAAGAGGGAGGTGGAGGGAGGGGGGAAGAGGAGGTGGAGGAGGAAGAAAGGAGGTGGAGGAGGGAAAGAAGATGAGGAGGTGGAGGAGGAGAAGAGTGGAGGAGAGGAAAGAAAGAGGTGGAGGGGGGAAGAAGGAGGTGGAGGAAGAAGAGGGAGGTGGAGGAGGAAGAAGAGGGAGGTGGAGGAGGAAGAAGATGAGGGAGGTGGAGGAGGAAGAAGAGGGAGGTGGAGGAGGTAGAAGAGGGAGGTGGAGGAGGAAGAAGAGGGAGGAAATTGGTCTTATGGTTTTTCATTAGTTTTATTTGTTTTATTCTATATGTGTTTAACTTTGTTTATTACCTGATCTTTGTTAGATCTTGTTTATTTATTTTCATATTGCTTATTTATGTTTGTTTATTTATATTTTATTGTTTTGTTTATTCTTTTGTTTCTTCATTATTTCTAGTTTAAGATCTCTATTTATTTACTTATTCTATTCTTTCGTCCCTATTTCTTTTTATATTTTATTTTACTTATACATTTTATTTTTATTTTACCTTGTATATTTTATTATTTATGATTATTAATATTATTATTATTGTTATTATTATTATTATTATTATTATTATTTTTATTATTAGCATCATCATCATTATCATCATCAGCTGAAGGTCAGAGGTCACAACTGAAGGTCACAGGTCACAGCTGACGTCAGAGGTCACATCTTTTTAGAATGTCATGAACATTAGTCACCCCAGCTTAACATATCTCAAGTTTAAGCACCCAGACGCTACCCGGGGACCTAATCTTCATGTAATCCCAAAAGAATGCACAGTAGATGTCGCTTCCGTAGAGGAGAAAAACAATATTAATATATTTCCACATAATTGAAATCCCAGGACAGCCGAAATGGACTGAATTTGCTAGAGATTGCCTCGTGTACAGTTCCTGGGAAAAAAATACCAATCATCATCGTCTTCTGGGAAATGTTTACTTGACGGCTTGTTTCCCCGATGACCCCAATGACGTATTTAATAGACCCAATTCTAAAGTGACATATGGAGAACTGTAGGGGAAAAAAAAGTCACTCATTTTTGAAGTTGTGAATTTGTTCGTGTGTTATTTTTCCATACATGGTCGTGTTTATTTTGGGTGCGTTTTGTCTGATTATGGCAACAGTTATTGTTTATTTGACGTTTTAGAAGTTCATGTTGTTGAGCCTGTTACTGACTGGTGTTGGAGCCTTACACTACACGACGGTCTGGAAGGTATGCGTCAGGGTGTACTGTAATCTGTGAATGAGGGAAATGTCTCTTTTTTTTATGTAGAAGTCACGGATCAAAATACTCACCGGAAGCGTCTCTCCCTAATTTAACTTACCTGAACTTTAAATACCCTGACGGTACCTGACTCACCTAAGACTCACCTAATCTTGAGTCGATTCTCTCTTTTATTTTCT